TTCAAATTTATTGCAGCAATTTAGTCTCTCTTTGTGGCTCTGTGTCTGTGTGTGTGCGCCTGTGTGTTTCTGTGTGTGTGTGCAGGAAACGGAAGTGCTCGGCTTTGTTGGCAACTGCCTTTTTCGTAAAAGTATTTGTACGTTAAAAGTTGTAAATTTCATTGTTGCAGACAAGAAAATTAATTACGGACAGAGAAGGCTAAAAATTACCTAAAAACATGCCATAGCAAGAATTTAACTTTCAAATCGAGTTAAAGGAGCTTCCAAGGATAATTAAAAAGGAAATCAGAGATAGAGAAATGAGAAACGAGAGCAAGAAAGAAAAAAGCGGGAAATGTCCTGACCCTTCGAAGGTCAATCAACCTTGTAAGACTAAAGGAAACCTTTGAAAAGGACCATCCCGTCCTGACTAGGTCCGGACCAGACGCTCGCCAGACTTGTCTGCCCGAAAAGGATACTCCGGCCAAAAAGGACATGCAAATACCGCTCCTTGGCCCCGAGCAACAGTTGATAACGGAAGAAAGGACAAAAAATACGAAAGCAAGAGCAAGAACGACAGCAGAAAGTTACAAGTCAGCGACTCACAAAAGGTTGACGACACCAAAAAGGATGCGAGCAAGGACCTTTTTTTTAGGTTGACTGGCTCAAGGCTCAAGGATGTTTGACGCAGCACGGCAGGAAAAGCAACAGTTTCCCCAGAAAGGGTCAAGTGGCAGCGCGTGGCGCAGGGACGAAGGACTGCGGCTGGGACTGGGATTTGTGCGGGAAGGACATCAACCCGAAAAGGGTTAAATTAAGCTCATTGCCCTTTTTATTATTAGAAAGGATACAAGGACGAGGAAGGACATGGGACGCAAGGACGCAAGGACGGCAGGACGTCGGGCCGGATGGAGGTTGCCTTTTGGGCTGTGTCCCTTATTTTTTGTTTCCGCTTTTGAGGGTATTTTTTATGGCCACAGCCCGTACCCGGACGACCTTGACCCACAGCGACAACCTTGACATTGGCTTCCCTGCCTTCGTTTTTTATTTATTTTTATTCTCGGCTTCGTTCTTTTCCTGGTCTTTTTTTTTGTATTTTGGTTTTTTTTTGTTGCTCCTGCCCTGTTGGCTTGGATTTCAATGAAGGTGCCGCAGGCGTGTCCCGTTCACTACTGTGGCAGCAAATGTTGCCAGTTGCCAGTTGCGTGGCCGCTTTCAGCGCTTTCATTGTTCGACTTAAGACCCACACGGGATCGCTGGCTGGCTGGGTGCCTGACTGCCTGCCATTCCGTCCTCCACTCCTCTGTGCTTCCGCCTGTCCCTCATAAGCGGAGGAAAGCACAAAAAACGAGCAGGGAGAAGCGGCAACCGCAGACACAGAAACCGACAGGTTGCCGGCTGCTCACGTGCTGCGTGCTGCCAAAAGTCGCTCTGTCGCCTTCTCCTCTTACAGTTTGGGACATCAGCCACTATACACTGAAAGAAATCGCTTTGCCCTTTATTACCTAAACTCCAAATATGATTTAAGAAGTATAAACTAGCTCTGGATGATTGTTTTCTGTGTGGCAAGTGTTGCTGCTGCTTCCGTGGCTTGTTGCTGGTGGCTGCCTGCAATGGTGGTGCCTCCAATGCGGACAGTTGGACGACAAATTGTCTGCCTGCCGCCTGCTGGTGCTGCGGCTGGTGCTGTTGCTTCTGGTGCCGTGGGTCTGTTTTTTACGAGCTGTTTTGTAAGCTCTTGTATCGCCATCGCACGTAGGAGTCGTCCCCCTTGTTGCTGGTGTTGCTGGAGTATCTGTTGCTGCTGTCACGGTTGGTGGTGCCACTGAAGTAGCCACGCCAGCCGACGTGGCGCCGACATGTTGGCATTTACGATTATGTCTGGCCACCGCTTCTTCTGGCAACTGCACCAGCTCCTGCTCCCCTTTGGCTTCTGGCCATGTTTTTAGGCGTTTTTGAGCGATGGCCGAGGTGTGGCTGTGAAGTCTTAAAAAGCCTTTGCTTTGACATTGCCAACTGAGTCGAGTGAGCCGGCTGGGGGAACCCGTCGAGCCGCTTTTTCTCCATCAGGCGCCGCCTAATTAGACGTTAAGTGCATTGGAGGCACGGCTTCCAATTGCAACGGCCAGCGGCTACTCAGCGTGTGGCTTAACCCCTTCGTCCCCGCCGCCCCTTAACCCACTGCCGACATGTCCAAACATTGTGACAGGCTGATTGCATCGCCGGGGCATGTGTTGACTAATTGCCACCGGCTACTGTGGCACGATGGACGACGGACGATGAAATGTGGCCCCATTCCCAGCTGGACAGGCCAGTGGAAAAAAAATGCACAGGTGGGTGGCAGATGGGTGGGATGGGGTTATAAAAAAATGCAACCTGGATGTGCAATGTGGGCACTACACTGAGCTACAAAAGTCAGAGATTTAAGGGAGTTTCTTCCTCAAATAAACAATAGCTAGGATTGGTTGGAATTTCCCCACTTTCTCTCCTTAATCCATTCCCCTCTTATGTAGTCCAGTGTTGCAACCATGGCTTGTCCAGCCAACACCAGTCGCATTCCATGTTAACCCATGTCTATGCAGATTTTACAGAGCCAGATGGGAAAGCAAAAGGCATGGAAATCGGGCTGAATAGAAGTGCAACAAGTTGATGTCGCCAAAGGACAGAGCCGACATGGCGACCCTGACTCCGGGCTCTGGGATTGCGGATAGCGGATGATGGTAGACTGGATAGCTAGAGAGCTGGTGGACTAGGCGAGGCTATCAAAGCCAAAAACCCAACTCGACGCGTCTCCTCGACGCTATTTAAGCCACAACGCGACCCAATCCGACCCGGCCTGAACAACGGAACAATGGCCAACTGGCTGACTGGCTGACTGGATGGTCGGGCCAAAAATGTTGGTAACTGCATGCAAACATAAACATGAAGGCCGCAACATCCACAGAGAGAAATTTATCCAGTTTATCTCTACTAGAAGATAAAATATTAGCCAACAATTTCAGATTTTTGTTCAGTGTATGATGCGAAAGCCCCGGGCGAGGCTGGGGAGTGGCCGAGGTGGAAGTTGGGTTGGAATTGTTGCCCCTGGCCATGACCATGGAGCTGCAGTTGGCCAGACTTGTCCTTGCCAAATCCCAATGCCAGGACTGTCAATGGATTTGACTCTCCCTGACCCACTATTTTTTTTTTCAGGACGGAGGTGTAACTATGTGCGACCTGAACGCGACCTGAATTGGCTGCTCCGCCAAAAAAAAAAAGAAGGGAAAATGAAAATATAGTGGCCCCGTTGCATGGTGGCCTCTGTTTTCTGTGTTTCGGTTGCCGGTTCCGTGTCCGTGGCCGTGTCACTGGGCCACCGAAAAACTTCACTTTCCCCGTTTGGAAAATGCGCCAGAGGAGCTGGAAAAGTTTGCAAGTGTTGCACGACGCGGATGAAGGGGTGGAGGAAGGGGCAAAGTAATGGAGAAGCCAGAGCTGATGCCAAGACATCTGCCGCAAAACTTGAGGCAAGAATGCTCCTCCCTACCCCCACGACCGTTCAATGTCAAGCTCCTGCGGCTCCAGCGCCACTTTTCCTGGTGAAATTCTCCTCCGCCCCCACCAGAGTTTCTATATCTGGGAACCAGCCTGCAACCTGTTGAGATTTTGTGGCCAGAGGAGCCTCACGTGAGTCGGCTGGATGAGGATGTCTGTGCCTTTGCCTGTGCGTGCGTGGACGTGGATGTGTGTGCCACAACAGGGAGTCGCTGTGACGACATAATCAACGCTTCATTGGATCCCAGCTGTTGCCACAAGTCGCTTGCCAAACAAATCGTCGACTTGGAGTGACGGGAAGGCAGGTCTCATCAAATGGCTTGAGTGATGGGTGGTCTAGCCAAGTAAGTACAGTGGTAAGTCCTTAAAAGAAACCTTTCTATAACTCTCCTGCTAAGGTCATGTTAAGCTTCCTATGACTTTAAGTCCTTCATATCCAGCCCTCACTGTCTTGCCATTTATTCATTGTATTAGCTTGTGTCAAGTTTTTACGACATTCCGACCTTGAATCCCCAACGACATGACACCCAAGGATGTTGCGTTCCGCTGAAAGGGAAATCCCCGAAAGGTCAAAGTCACTGGCAGTACCGTTTTCCCGGTTCACTCCAGTCATTACTCGAGTTATCCACAGAAGAGCCCGAGCCAGACCCAGACCCAGGCCCAGACCCAGACCCACTGGCTGTCCCCAGAGCAACGGATGTCAGAGGATGGTGGAGGAAAACCCTGGCAACAATAAGTAGCTGGGCTCTTGGCTCTTCGCTTTGGTAACTGGTGGCTGGCTGCTGGCTGGCTGCTACGTGCGGCTTGTGGCAGCTGCCTCATCCACATCCACATCCGCAGCCAAGTGGCTCGCCTTTGAGTTTCGCAAGTCAACACAACGGGCACAACTTTGCCTGCTTCTGGTGGCTGCTGGTGGCTGCTGGTGGCTGCTGGCTTCTTTTTTCTCTCCTCCTTCTGGGGCTTTGGATGCTTTTGGGTTCCTTTGGTGCTGCCGGCAGGTTTTTATGACGGTGACCCCCAGCTACGTGCGGTCGGCTGCCTGTGGCGGAGAGATTATGTCTCGCACTGTGTCTGGGACAGGGATTGTCAGACTGGCAGACAGCTTTTCGGGGAATCCGATGACGGAATTACACAAAGGAAATGTTTTTTTTTTATTAAAATAGGAAAGTGATTCTCATGCAACTGAAACCTTAACCCACTTTTCTCAGTGTAGTCTCGGCCGCAAACAAAAGCGACTGATGACGTGGAAAACGTTTCTGCGGCATGCCGCTTAAAACACAACAATATCCGAGGGTCTGAGAGGGTCTGGGAATCTGGGTATTGGAGTAACTGGAATCTGGGCAATCCCTCGACCGCAGACAGTCTGTCTGCCGGTTTTCGTCGCGTGACTTAATTAGTTCCCATGGATAAAATGTCAGAGGAGTTGGCCAAAAAAGGGGCTCGGAATGGGGGCCATAAAAAAGGGCACTTGGCCTTACGTCACTTACCCCAGTTGTTGGTGTGCCATTGCCGGCGGCTATGCCTGGGGCATTAGCCGATCCATTTCCGGCTAGAGTGGCCTTTCCTTTGCCTCTCCCGCGTTTTGAATCGGTTCGGACAGGCTGGCCATCGGCTCCATAGACGATCTAAAATAATTTAAAAAATATTTATTTGTTAAATAGTTGTATGGTTAAAAAAATTCTTTAAAAAATAATTTGTAAGTCTTGGAAGAGGAGTTGTGGCTCTCCAAGTTGGGATACTGTCTTAGGAATACAGATACTTTATTCTACATGTCCCAAAACACGTCCCAATGTAGACTTGACATTCTACATTGTGGAAAAATTGTGTATGAGACGAGTAGCGCCATCTATTGGCTATAGAAAGAAGCCTTGCCTTGATGTACCGTTAGGTGGCGCATGTAGAATTAATGTAGAATTCATTAGTCGAGTTGAATTCATATCTACAAGGACTATTTGTGATTTTATGACGAAAATATGTCTTGTTTTCAAGGAGGGTTTTTATAAAATGTATTCAAAATTCTCTCTTGAAAATTTTGTAATAAATAAATACATATAAATATGTGAAGAAGTGCTTAGAAATATAATAAAAATAGAGGTCTAATAGTGTAAAAAAAAGGTATTCAAGAGATCCAAAAGAATGTCTTTAAACATAAGTATCTATAGCCCATTATTACTTTTTAATACATAAAATTTTCAATCCAAAAAGAATTATATATTAAAATCTCTTAATCTAATGTGTAAGGGGATGTTGCTACCCCATTTAATGATCTTCTTTAGGGACATTAAAGTATTTCCTGGAATGGAGGCTCTCCGATACGAAAAGTCATAATAGTTCCCATTGCACCAAAAATAATTTCTCTTTCCTCACCAAGAAATAATGACATTTAACCTCTTGTACGACTGGCTGGCATATTAAATTACATCATAGTGAGAAATAGTGAGAAAACCATATGGATCGAAGTATCTTAAACTAACCCTGGAACTCTGGAACACAGCCAAAGATAATTCCAATAAGCATGAAGAATGCTGCAACCGAATGCCGTGTATTTAAGCGTTTAAACCGCCTGTTGGAACCAATAAGTCCGGGCGGAGTCTATTTCCGGCGCAGACTCATAAATATCAAGCCGGGTCTCCACCAGAGAGACCCATTAGTCCAAGTGCTGGGAAACGAACGGTAAAGTTGGAAAACTAAAATTGAAAATCTTTGGAGGGTGTGTGTTTGTGCGCAGGCGTGCCCTGCTCCAAAGTCATAGTCCGGATAAAAATAGATCGAAAAAAGAAAGAGGAGGAGGCGGAGGAGGAACAGGAGGCGACATATGGCTCCAGATTCAGATCCACGTCCAGACATCTTTGCAGGAGTGCCTGTGGAATGCCCTTGTCTGAGTCGTTTGGGTGGCTGATTGACAGCCGCGGCATCTTAACGGTAAATAAGCGACGCCATTACAGTGAGAGAAATTATAGGAAGTTTAAATATACTTAAGATGTTATAATTGCTGTACTTTTATTTAGAATTTAAGTCCAAACATCTTTAAAAAAAATATTTCAAATACAATCCTTATAGAATCTGATAAACTTGCCCCCGAATTTGTTGGCTGTACTTCACTTTGCCACCAAGCATCCCCAGTATGCCGCCACATCCCCAAAACAAGCCACCATCCCATTTTCATTCCCATTTCCATTTCCATATCCATCTCCATCGCCAGTCGGCTTTTACATTGTTGGCACGCGCAGGCGCGCACACATGTTGCAAGAACGTCAATCGTTTTGGGGCGAGCAATAGGATGAGGGGCTCCGGGAATTGGAGACTGGATACTGAGCACTGGGAGCTGCAAGATGTGAAGATGGGAACCAAGAACCGAAATGCGTCTGCGTACAGGGCTCTTTTCAATTTTAGCAGCAGTTGTCATTTCGGAAGCAATTATTTTAATGCAGAGCTGAAGTTGCAGTTGCAGTTGGAGATGGAGATGGCGATGGCGATGGCAATGGAGATGGAGTTTCAGTTGAGAGCGTGCCAGCCCCCCAATGATGATGAAACGGAACGGGGAAAGACTGCCACGAGATGGTAAGTACAAGATGGAGACGATGTCACTGGGGCCTGGGATTACGACTTGAATGTGGCGGCAAGTTGGGGTTGCTCGGTGGCGTCTAAATTTAGGTTTTGTCTCCTCAAGATCTTGAGGTGTTTTCGGTCGAAATTGATACGACAATGTTTGTAGTTGTTTGGGTACAGTTGTGTTTGCTCTGATGCTCATAGTATGGTACAGTTGTGCTTAGAATAGGGAGGAGAATACTCAAGAAAAGACGAGGAGACTTTCAAAGATTTTAAATTCCTATAAAGTGTCTAAGAAGTGGGTCTTCTAAAGTGATTTCTTTTAGGAATTTATCTTAATTTTAGCTCCAAAAGCAATTAAATTCCATTCCCAAAGTTCGGAATTGAGAACCAGGACAATGACCCACAAAATTCGGGCCAAAAGTAGGCTACCCAGAAAGCACGAAGCTCGTAAAGGCTGTCGCCCGAAAAGCTCCATCATTTCTTAACAAAAATTGTTTAAAGAAGACAAGAAATCGATGACAGTTTATGAGCCTTGAAGTGAAACCGTCTTTAAATCAATTTTTTTCACAGCCATTTCCTGTTGAAAGGAGACCAGGTTTCCAGACCATCATTCGTCCTTTTTTTCCATTAACTGCATTTCGGCTTTTTTCGCTGGGGACTTTATTAGCGCCAACAATGCAAAAAGCGAGAGAAACAAAATGTTGAGGCACAAAACGCATGTTGACTTAATTGGGGCTATTAGTTTTTATTAAAAGGAAGCCCCCGATGATGAGCTGGGGCAGGTGGCAGCTGCCGCGATACAATAATGAGCCGCTCAAAAAAAAGCTTGTCTGTGGAGGCTCGTATAACAACAGGAGCCGAGGCACAAGCACCAGCACCAGCAGCAGCAACAGGTAGCCCCAGTTTGGGCTTAACCGCAAAGGCCACACGCACACCGAGCCGGGCCCGAAAACTCGGCAGGGCCCTGACCTAGCCCAATTGGCTTTGTGGTAGGTTCCACTTCGTTTCAGTCCCCCATTCTCAGCGGGGCGGGCTCGTTGGCTTTTTATGACACAATTTGTGGAGGGCGGGGGGAAACCACAACAAAAACAGCAATAACATTACACAGAAACCAGAGCATTGGCAAAAACAGGAGCCAGAAGGCAACCCCTCGCAATATTCTACCCCTACTAATGAGCCATAAAAAGTTCTCAAGTTTGTCAAAATGTGTGTGTGCTTTGGGCAACCCTTTTCCAAGGCTGATGTATGATACAGGACCTATATCAGATCCTATATACCCTTAACCTCTTAAAGTAAACCAACAGATGAGCTTATCAAAAGTACAATCATAAAGTGAACGGCCTAGTTCGTGGCAATGACCTAGACCTGCCCCAAAAAATATTATCCTAATTACTGCTGCACCAAGGGCAACCCTTTTTGGGCCACCAGACACGACGCCCAGGCAGGAAAATCGATTTTCGTAGGCAAAATATTTCAAGGTTATCATGCCCGCCCTAATCTCTGTTTATTTTGATTATCACTTTCGTGGCAGGCGGGTCTCCAAGGCAACAAAAGCCGCCCAGCTGTCCCCCCACCGCCCACCGGGAGTTCCTTGATTAGCCGGGCGTCCTTGAAGGTTGCCCAAAAATTTCACGCCGTGACTCAATCTCCGGTTTTGTCTGACGATGATGATGATTCACACAGGATTGCAGGGGGAACTGGAGCTAAGCAAGGGGGCTGAGGCGGTGGTCAGGGGGGGAAAATATGGCCGACGCCTGCAGGATTTGCTTTTTACGGCTTATATCCCATTTTGATTGCGGCTGTCAGCCTTTTCTTACCACTCCTCTGGCCTTTCTCCGTTTTCGGGGGTTGACTTCTCGCCGAGTCGGGGGTGAGTTTCGGTTTTTGTAGTAATTGAAGCAACCCCTATATATATATATAGTCAAGTATCTGGCGGATACATACCTACGTGGTATATATATCCGCTTTCTCCGATGCGTCATCCGACGATTTGTTACACGTAATTTAGATGCGAAATTTTCAATGTCAACTGCGAGACGACTTCCCCCCTTTTGTGCTTCGTCCTTCGTCCTATGCCACCCCCTCGATTTGGGTTTGTGCGCCCCTTGAGATGTAACCGTTTTGATATGTGCTAAAAAGCTCACTTCACAAATATATCAAGGTCAAGTTCAGAGGGGGACGTCGAGGACGGGCTTTATTGTTTGTTGAGGTAGCGGAAGGCGGCAGAAGCCACAGCCCAGAAAATGAGCCAAATGAAAACAAAAAAGGGTAAATCACAGCAAGGACCATTTGCTGACACAATTCGAGGGCCTGGATGAAATATTTACGCACAGAAATTGACGAAAATTGACGCGTTGGAATCTTGTGTTTAATTGAGGGGGTTTCTCAAGTATTGGTCCTTTGACACAGCTTTAAAGTCTGTAACCTGTTAACTATTGGTCCTTGGAGCTAGTTTTAAAGTCTATTATGCCTTTTTAACATCATAAAAAAACTACTAAATTAAAGAAAGCATTAAAATCTTTTATATAATTGAGGGCATTTCTTAAATTTTGGTCCTTCGAGACAACTGCCATCTATTAACTATTGTTCCTTCTAGCCAGTTTTAAGCTCTGTCATCTCTGTCGCTTTATGAATTCAATACCACAAATAAATTACTTAATTGAAACCCCTTTGAAACTACACAATTTTTAATTCGCTTAATTAAAAGTCATCCCAGAGCATACAAATGCGGGACCTTAATCTGGACAATCAAGGACAGCTGCAAAGCCCCCGAGGAGTACTGAGCAGATAACTCCCAGGTCCATGGAACTCGACTAATTAGTTATATTTTTGGCTTGTGGGTTTGAGGATGAGTGGTAATGAAACTGCATTAGCACGAAGACCAAGCAAGGATAATGGATAATGGAGTCCGGGATGCCCCTTCGGCAGCTAATACTGAAGATAGAGAGAAAAGTGAGCAAATTGAAGCTCATGGAACGGAAAAGGAGAAAAGAATTAATTTGAAATTCCATTTCGTAGATTTAATTGAGTTGAAATCAAATTAAAAGCAATTTATTTTCAACCCTCATTGCGA